CATATATATATATATATATATATATATATAATATATATATATATATATATATATATATATATATATATATATATATATATATATATATATATAGAATAGAATAGAAAAGGTGCTGTACACACTTGAGGTGTGTAGAGTCTTAATTACGTAGAATTAAGACTATGACAGCCGATTACAAAAATTAGTGTTCAGAAACCGAAATAATTATCGATACTGTTTTTAAAAATGTTCAAATTATCTTTATCTAATATCCATTGTGGAAGAGAATTCCAATCATTTATAACTCTGTTTGTAAAGAAATGGTGACGAATTCTTGATTTTGTAAATTGTCTGCGTATTCTACAATTGTTACTTCTACTAGATCGCTCCAGCTCAAAATTTAAAGGAGGATGGTGAAAATTAACAATATCTTTTCCTTTTGAGATCTTATACATTTGAATCAGATCACCTCTTCTTCTTCTATCAAACAAAGTTGGCAATTCAAGAATCTTTAATCTTTCTTCATACGACTTCCCCCTTAAAGATTCAATTCTGGCCCTGTGTTGCACGATTTCAAGATTGTCAATGTCCTTTTTCCAAAATGGACTCCAAACTGTTGCTCCATATTCCAAATGGGGACGTACTAACGATTTGTATAATAACTTTAATGAAAGTTCATCCAAATACTCAAAAGAGTTTTTGATCATGCCTAATTTTCTGTTTGCTTTACCTATAGCTGAATTAACATGATATTTCCACTCTAGATTATTTGAAATGAAAATCCCAAGATCATTTTCTATCATTGTTTCTGTTAAAACAGAGTTGTTCAATTTATATTCATATCTTGGATTCTTTTTGCCAATATACATGACTTTACATTTTGATTCATTAAATGTAATTAACCAATCTTCAGACCATTTAACTAACCTGTTAATATCCTCTTGTAATATTTTATTATCATCATAACAATGATTGATTGAAATAACTTTGGTATCGTCTGCATATAATTTAGTGTCTTTAATAATCCCTCTACATAAGTCATTAATGAAGATTACAAACAAAAGAGGTCCGAGTACTGAACCTTGTGGTGTATATATATATAAATATATATATATATAGATATAATATTAAAGTCTTGAAAATAAGAAGACACTGTAATAGTTATTTAAAATTAAATCATAATAATCATTCTATTTGCTTCTTTTTTATATATAAAAGCTTTTATAAATATTATACAATAACTCTTATGATTTAATTTAATTTTATATTTTTCTTAAAAATATAATTATATATTTAAGCAAAGAGATAAAAAGATAAGTTTTTGTGCTAACAAAAATAGCATTTGCTAAAAAAAAGATATAAAACTTCATTTTAGATTTTTTACTTTATTTCATTTATTTTCAGATTATTTTATTTAGTAGAAATATATATTCTTAATAAAAATAAGTTTCAATAATAGGACTTTTAAATAATAAACTAAATTCTACATGCAGGATGCCAACAACACGTTTAAGTAAAAGTAAAAAATCGGTTAATTTTTTTTCGTGTAACTACGACACGGGGTATTTTGTAACTTGAAAAAAGGGCCAACGTTGGCCCAATTCGTCGATTTTTATTATTTTGCTTTTGAGGAATCAATGTTCGCATCCTGGGTCCAACGTTGGTCCAACAGCATTCTAAATTAATAAACATTATTAGTTCGGTCTGTATTAGT